TGGCCTCGTTTGTGCGCGACTATCTGCCAAAGGGAAATAGATTGAGGAGAAAATCTATCCAAGAGATCGTAATAAAGAAGGTCAGTCAGTGTCCATTATGGAAAGTTACTAATTGGGAATTTCGAGAATAAAACAAGTCGAGAAATTCTCTTTAGAAGAAACGGACTGAAGGAGTCGGATAAATCTCTCCTCTGATGTCGCGTCGGATACAGGTAACGCCGGAAGAAGAAGACGAGGATCGATGATGTGGTTGTGCGACGCACAATTTTCCCAAGCACGGCTTTGTAAAATGAATACGGAGTGTTCTCGAAGCGCCGGTAGCCTAGTGATTAAGGCTGAGGAAGCGCCCTTAGAAACGAGGGGGTGGTGCCCGTGATTGAATCGAAGTTTCCAGCCGGAGTACGAGACAGTTACGAATGCTCTCGTTCGAAAAAGTTGACGAGTTTCACACGGTGCAGCGCGACACGCCCAAGATACACGATGAACAATGAATCCATTTATTTAAAAAAATTTATTTAAAAATTTTCTATCTAACAAATAATACCTATAAACATTTTGGATAGTTTATTCTCAATTTATTCTTTATTTAAGATTATAAAAATTGTTATTAAAATCTTCGGAAGTTTTAATCAAGATTCATAGTCACCGCTGAAGTACACCGTTAATTTGAGAGATTCGTTCAAATTATAGAATAACTTTCAGCACTCCGGATTTTCGAGATTCCTTCAAACGAGGCTAGTGATCTCGATGTTTTGTAAATCGTCGTCGGTGCCAATGAATGCCGGCAGATTAGCCGGCGCCGAGAAGAATAGACTCAAAGAGGAGTGAAACAATCGCCCTATTTTGAGATTCATGCATTGAAATCGACGATACAATGGCCGTTTTTCAGCAGCCCGCGATACAATGACGTCCGCGCAAATGAGGGAGGAGACGAAGGTGAAAACGAACGCCCGCCATAATGAAACAATGCGGCACCCTCCTGAGCGACCGAGTGCTCCTCTTCGATCGGGAGCAAAATCTTTTCTATACAGTCCGCGCTACCAATTGCTCGATCGATTTCCCTCGCTCGATCGAGACAGACAGGCACGTTACGCCATGTCAAATTAATACTTTATAACGAATCGCGCTTTGAAAGGAGAAATTTTACGAAGAACGATGCGCCTCACAGTTTTCTTTTTTTTTTTTGTAACGTTTGATTTTTTTTTTTAATTGGCAGAGATTAATAAGGAAGAGAAGACGAATAAGACCCGATCGATATTTCCCGATAGGAATGTTTCGGAAGGAAGCGAGGTCGTCCGTTAAATTCACCATTAGAGCAAACGATGCGTGCGTACGTAACGTGCAAGGAAAATTACACGATGCACCGCTCGATCGGCCGCCCCACATTCCCTGACGCTCGCCCGGCGAATTTCGGCGCTCGCCCGTTCAGCCGGTTCCCAATGATTATCCACTTAAATCGTGAAGTCGCGACCAATTATGTGGGGGTGCGAGGGTTAATTCGATAATTGCGTTATATTCCGTTCCGCGAGTAATTGCCACCTTTCCGCGAATGCAAATCCCTCCCCGCCGCGGTACCGCACCGAAACTTACCACCGCCGGTTTAACTACGCACGACGTTAACCCCATTTAACCATTTTACTGTCTCGCCCGCTGAAGTTTCGTTGATTGCACGGCAATTAACGAAAAATCTGCCACTAATTTGCTCTATCAGAAATGATTTGACTTTCATTCCTTGCTCTTTCTATATCAATTTTTTAGTCAATCGACAGTAAGCATAATTTTGTCATTTAAAATAAATATAGTTTCCTAAGCAAATAAAATTTTACAAAGAGATCATTTAATTCAATAAATTTAATGACAGATAAAATTGTTATTCATTTACATATCTACTTAAATTCTTCAATTTGATTTAACTATTCAATTAATTCAATCGATTGATTTTTTTTGTTCTATATTATTTTTGTCATGCATAAGATTACGATCCGATCATCCCTCGGCTTTGTAGTCCATCGCTACTTCTCATACATCTGTGAATCAATATCTGCGAATAGGAATTTCACGCGCGCATCAAATTACAGCGAGAGCGTTCGGAGGCGTACTCAGAGAGACGAGAGCGAACGGAAGAGAAGAACTCGGGGTGAAAGAAGCAGAAGAGAACGAAGAAGAAGAAGAAGAAGAAGAAGAAAGGAGCGAATCGAATCGAGCGCGTTCGGCTGCAAGCGAAGGTTAAAAGAGGGGAGAAGCACGCGTCCGCCACGCTCCCCGTGCACACACCTGGGGCCAGTTGGCCAGCGAGAGGAAGGCCCTTCTACTATTGGTCCCACCACCAAAATGTCCAATTATTAACAAATTATGATCGCGAAATTGGGGAGTCTTCCGGAAATACGGAAACGAGAGCTAGGCGAAGAGACTCAAGTAAGATCTGCGACCGCCTCTTCGTATCGCTAATATCATCGACGGGGGTGATCCCGGATGATTCGTCTTCTCCGAAAGATTCGGCTCCGCACGTTATTAAAATCCGTAAAACCCCGAAAAGACTCTTAAACACCGCCTAATTATTAGTAGATGCAAGAATAAAATGGATATTATAATCTCTAGAAAGAAATAATTATAGACAGACGATTTTATTGTTAAAAGACCTACGATTGTGTGCGTAAGGGTAAACAGATGCTCTTATAGATATATATCCGATAACGACTGAAGGCACTCGTACGATATCACGTCGGAAGAAGCGAAATTAGTGAAGCGAATTTCCCTTCCCGAAGATCAACCGTTCGTAGTTCCTCCCTCGTGATGGGGATTCGCCGCGTCTCCTGCCCTTTCACGAAAGTTTACGGGGCACCTGCCACCCCGTCGCTCTTCCGCTGCATTTTGTTACATAATCGCACTTGATTCCCCGCGTCTTAAGTGCGCGGTTTTTACCTACCATTCGAAGTGAAGTGTCAATTCGTAGCCGCGCGATGCGATTGTCGCGTCCGTCTGTGAGCCAAGCCGCCTTTACGAGAGGTGGTAGCGATTACGGTAACGCTAAGAGTGGCATCTGGTTTTGCGTGTAACGGCGGCGTATACAGTTAATTCGACCGTTCAAAAATCCTTTACGGCACGCTGAATACGATCGATCCTTATGATTACACGCGTTTCACCCGGACACAAAACAGTCCCGCAGACACGCTGCATGCTCGCGTCGTCTAATCGTCTCGAGCGTGCATCCTCGCGGTAGGTCACCGACACAGGCACGAAGATTACCCCGTATCGATCCCGGCGCAGACAATCTCCTTTAATTCGAATTCAGTTTCCTTTGTGCTTTTACAATCTGAAAGTACGACGTGCAGCAGATATAGTCGAGATCAATCAGCTGTATAAGACACATCGCGCCGAATTTTTCCTACCTTCGAATTTAGATTTTATTTAATTAAGTTGCTAAAATTATATTGCATTTATTTTTGTTACTAAGTTTTATAAATATATATTTATGCTTCGTATATATATAGTATAGTAAACAAGTACAACATCAAAGAGCAATCAGGAATCACGTAAAGATCGTCGGCGGTACTGGGTATAACTATAAGGAAAAAAGATCGTCGGTGAGACCAAGAATCCAACCGATAATTGGTCCAACTACCGACACGAACTACCGACAGGAAACTGGAGTAAAGTGAAAAACTTCCAATAGCATTAAAGTCGCATTAGCCGGGACTAACAAGAAAGCGGAACGACTTTCCGGTTCATTTGTTTCCACGTGTGGATTACATACCAAAAGAACCGACAGTAAAATTTCACGCGGTCTTTTATATAATCCTATTTTGTGAGAAAATTCCGCCGATTTTGTCGTCGTAAATGACGGGTTTTGTATCACTGGAAAACAAGGAAATGCATCACTTGCCAAAAACGCGTTATAAAAATTTAAAAAATTTTAATAAAGTTAATTATTTGTGATATTGTATTTTCAAAACAACTCTTAAAATGATTTCATATTAAAGATAAAAAAATTTCATGTGAATTAAGTTTCAAAGATTTATATGAATATTAAATCCCTGTTTCTCTCCATTAATCTCACACATCGATTGTAGAAGAAATTTAAAATTAAAAATTGAATAGACGAAAGAGACCGAAAAGCAACGATAAGACAAAAGCTAGCAGAGATCTATTAAAAGAATTTTACGTCATCGACCAGAAGCGGGGTCCATTTGGAGTAAGATTACTCTTCGATTAGACCCTGCATCGGTTTGATTAATCGTCGTCCCTCGGCCGCGGATACATTTTCGCGCATAGGGTTTTATGAAGATATTAACGAAGGGTCGTTTACGGTAAGCGGCTACATAAGCCGTGAGCGGACGTGCGCAAAAAGAAGCGGCAGGTCGGTGCTGGTTTTGGCGCTGTCTAAGACGCCTGAGCCGACCACTGATCATACGACCGATAACCCGGTTAACCCTACCAGTCTGTTATTATAATATTTGCCGAGCCGAAATATAGTGATTGCTTATTTGCTCGGGCCCAATTACGTTCAAGCGCGCGCCGGCGAAGGGCCCGCGCTACGTGACGATGCGTAGGGGGATAGGTACGAGAGGAGATGCACTTAGTCCCGAACGAGTCCGACCAACCACCCACCCCGTATCCTATCTACCTGCCTCAATTAACGTCGGCGACGTTATAACGATTAGGTTCGCACGATCAGATACAGGCGAGCGTAATGTCTATTATTGATCGTGTAGAACACGTTACATCGGATGCTTCAGCGATATTGATGATTTTTCCATGAAAAATCACGCCTTTTCTTTCCTCGTTAACGCGTTCCCATTCTAACATGAAGCAAAACAAATCGTGAAAAACGCAAAGAAGAGTTATAAAGATTTAAAATTATAACACCCCTGCCATGCAAGAAAATAGTCTCATTTTTTGTTAAAGTGAAGTTGAAATTATATATATTATAGATATATTTTCTTCACTGATCGGACAATATTAAGATAAAAGAATAAATGGATTAATGCATCATATAATAATTCGGGAATAAATTTGTAATACCACAGCCGCTGTAAAAAATGCTGTATTACAATACATGAAGATAACATTCTTATTTTCTGCATTGAAATAAAAAAAAAGTTTTCTGATTTTATTTATGGTTTCCATAGTTTCAATAGACCGTCTTCGCTATAAGAACATAATAAATTTTGATGGGGATGATGCGCCAAGCCGATCACGTCCTTCTCGTGTATCTAAAAGAGCCGGAACGCTGTTAATCAGAAAAAAACAAATATCATGATGAAATATCGGGTAATACTTACATTAAGGGTCCTTTCGAGCTTTCCCGATGACGTGGAAAAACAGTATAACACGAGATCCTCACCGACGCAATAGATAAATTCGCCACGCGGACTCACCACTGTGGTTACGAAGTCACCTCCTTCTCGTTTACCGCTGGAAAATGATCTTACTATTTGTCCTTGCATGTTCATAATTACTACTGTGTTCGAACGATTGCACACAACGAAGTGTTCTGGATTTCGAGGAAGAGGATGTATACTGTTCACTGTGAGATCGGCAGCTCCTAATGATTTGTAGGTGCCTATGCATTCGGTGGTCTTCAGACTCCAAATTTTCACAGTTCCATCCGAAGATGCGCTGTAAAATAAGGTTAAAACATTTGTTTGCAGAAATAGGAATTATTTTCTTATCTCTAATATAATGTTTGTAATAAATACCTAATTATATTATGACCATCTGGGGAAAATACGACTTCATTGACAAACGAGTTATGACCGCGGAATTCCTTGAGAGTTTTCCCAGACTTAAGGCCATGTATCCTATGAAGTTTATTTGCGGCTGTTAATAATATTATATTTATTGCTGAAATATATTTGAAATACAATTGCGTTTTAATTTACCTTATAGTAGTATCAAACGAAGCTGATAATATTTGACTGTTGTCTCTGCTAAATTGTAGGCAAGTAACACCTTTCGAATGTGCTTTTTCAAACCTTCTCAAGCATTGGCCACTCTGCACCCTCCAAACCTTGATTTTGCCATCCTGACCACCGCCCGCTAACATCTCGCTGTCGCGACTAAATGCCATTGATAGCACCGCTTGCTCCATCATCATGAAATTATCTTGTGCCTGGTATTTCAAGTCTTTCCTAATTTTACCAGTTGTAAAGTTCCATACTTCGATAAAACCGTCCACTGAGCCAGTCACCAAATATTGACCATCAGGAGAGAAACGTGCGCACTCCACATGTGATTTCTGACCGAATTTGATTTGCTTCGACAATTGCGTCGGAAATTTCTCATCTTCCTGATCGCGTACCGCTGCTTTTCCTCGGAACAAATCTATTGTGGTGCCAGGAGGTAATAAACCCTGATGTTGCTGCCACTTCAATGCTTGTCCCAATAAAGCAAGCAACCTGCTAGAAGGTACTACTGATACTTCGCCAGCAAGAGCAGTAGCTATATATGCTCTACGTTTCTCCTTTGTACTTCCATCAGGGTATGCTTCACGTGGATCAAAATACGAACGTGCGAGTAAATTCTCTGTAAAATAATATGAAGTTACAAAACAAAAAGACCTTTTTATAAAAAAAATATAGATATATATGATACATACCTAAGTGAATGTACCTTTCTGGTTCCTGTTGTTTCATCATAATCATGGGATCAGTCTGTCTTAATAAAGAACGTGCCGCACCTAATTCTCGCAGCTCGATTAATTCTAGAACAACCTAAACAAAATAAAATTTATAAATATCATCATAGGAAAAAGATATGATAATGCATTGTACATCTTTGATTCAAATCTCTAAAAGATTTAAGATATTTAAAGAAACTTGTGAAATAATATGATTAAGATTATTATATCATATTTTTCTAACTTAATATATCTACCTGTTCATACAAATCAATAAGTTTCTTGTCAGGTAGTTTCAATGACTGTATAGCTTTCAAAACTGTATCCCAATGTCCATTATTTATATCAGCAACAAATCCATCCACGCTGTCCACTGTATTAAGTGATACACCTGTCTCTTCCTGCATACAAAATACATTAGCAAAGAAGTAATAAAAAAACGTATATAAAATGTTGAAAAGGAAATACCTGTAACGTCTGTAGCGTCTTTACAAGATTTGACTCCTTAAGATACTGTTGTATCAGTCGGATCACACTGAAAAACGAAAAAATACATCGTTCAATGATACAGTTCACGTTTGACAATTTTATAGTAGTGAAAACGTATCGGGATCATCTCACTTACTCGGCAGATTCTATTTCGATCGACATCTCTAAATATATCCCGATTTCAGACACAGCAAAACAAACGCTTCGACAGTCAAAGGTTATATCTTAGACAACCTGCTCGTCGATGTAACTGACCGCACATCTGCATCGTTCGTGGGTACAGAACGTTCGTGGCAGCGAAGGCGATCGCAGCCGTCAAAATCCTAATGAAATTTCGGAGTAAAAACCGGAAGGAGAACGACGCAAAGTCAACTCGCCATAAATATGTATTTCTCGACGCAGCAACCAACCTCGCCAAGTATCGGCCGCTCTCGTCAGATAGCGCGGCGGATACCTTGCTCCAGATTCTCCACTACCTAGTCTTCCCTGGACCGCAGCGTCAATAACACACGGACTACACAAATAAAATGAGGCTATTTAAAATCCGCTTCTCAACAATGTGAGAGTCCGCGATCTTTAACTGGGCCGTGAGTACCTCGGGATGTATCTGTCCCCCGTCCCGTGCCGCTAATTTTGCGGTTCGCGAAAAATCAGTTTTAACGATCCGCACTGTTCTCAACATCTGTCAAAAAGTGACAGCAAAGTATTCTTTTCTTCAATTAATTTTTTTATTCGTATTCGCTGTTTTTCTCAGGAAAGTTTATTATTTCGATAACGTACTTATTTGCCGCAGTAATTCAATTCGGAGATACTCAAATCGCAGAGTATCTCGGATGGCAACTGTATGTGTGTGCATGATGCTTCACTCATTTTCAATTTTAAGAGGTAAATTGTATTTTTCCAGATTAACGGCCATCCTTCTCCAATCATGAAAGTCAGTTTTCTGTTCGCTATTTTGTTTCTAACATGGACTGTTGCGGTTCAATTTTGTCCGCAACATTGTTCATGCAAGTCGGTTGGTGCTCAAGCTGAGTGGTTACGTCTCAAATGTGGCGACCACTTGGAAGACATCAAGGATGTGGATGTCAACAAAGTCAGCGTGGAACTTATACAGCTGTAAGGCTGCTTTGTGTTCTACTTTTGTTGTTCTACTTTTTAGTTTCTAAGTCAGATGTGAAGTTAATATCAAATCTATTACAGAGATTTGAGCAAAAATGCTATTTACGTGATTCAAGCGGATGTATTTGCAAATTTGACAAATTTGAGGCGGCTTGATTTATCCAAAAATAAAATTAGTTCTATAGGCGAAGATTGTTTCAATGGCTTGGAAAACTTGGAGCGACTGTAAGAATTTATATATAAATTTATTTATAAGTCTTTTAATTTCTGTAATCTCATAAACTTCAATAATTTCAGAGATTTGAGTCAGAACCAAATATCAACGATAGACAGTTATGCATTCAAGAAATTATCAAACCTGAAAAGGCTGTAAGTCTAGAGAGAAAGATTTGATGTATATAAAAGTTTTTTACAGAGATATTTTTTTTTCGTCTTATGCATTTTTTGCTTTTGTTGCTCTAGCGATTTGTCTGGAAATAAAATATCTGCTCTGGCGTCATCTTTATTTCATAATTTGCTGGCCTTAGATCGTTTGTAAGTTAAAGCAAAATTTACATTAGCACATATTAATTTTACTAGTCGCTTTCTATGTGTATATATTACGATTTGAAAATCCATTCTGTCCTATTACACAATCATATGTCTTTATATTTTAGGAAATTAAACGGGAACAGTCTAACTACTTTAAAAGAAGGAACGTTTCATGGGCTCAAGTTGTTAAAACAGCTGTGAGTAAAACTTTAAGTTTAAACTCATTTCTCCATTATATCCATATAATAAAAGTTTTAACGTGATCTATATGCATTTCAGAGATTTGTCTAATAATCCTTGGAAATGTAACTGTGATCTATACTGGTTTAGTAATTGGATCTACAATTCTTCGATTAAATTAAAGTAACGTATATCACGCATTCATGATTACGATTACTTATACTGATGGGTCCTTTATCTATTTGATTTTCAGTCCACTGCCAAAATGTGCATCGCCATCTATCGCCAAAGGACAACCACTGAAGAAATTAAGATTTTTGGAAGAATTTCAGTGCCAATGGATATCGCCAACAATTGAAATACGTCCGGTTCAAAATCAAGTAGTCTTTGCTGGAGATTCGATTACTTTGAAGTGTAGAGCGCCCAGCATTACGATAGACAAAAGTGCCAGATTGAACTGGTTATGGTATCCTAATGCTACCGCTGATATCGTGGACTTGAGTGCTTACAAGGATCCGCGAAAAAGTTTACCTAATATTAAGGTTGACAATAGATACCTTTCAGATAGCGGTATCGTAGACAGGTAATACAAAGGATTTACAAATTATCTTAAAAAATATCAAATAATTATTATTACGGATTTTTTCTTCAGTGCTCTTAGTATAGTCCCGATCAAAGAAGAACACAATGGACAATGGAATTGTTTATTAGTTTCCACAAATGGCAACAAATCGAAAGCAGTCAGTGTTATCGTGATATCCGAACATACGCGTTATTGTCCTCTGGCAGGTAATGAATCAAATCTTACAACCTTGTAAAAGAACTGCTAATTACAACATAATCTCTTTTTAGTAACGAGAAACAACAAGGGTATTTACACATGGCCGAAAACGATAGTAGGATGGAAAGCAGAACTGCCCTGCGAAGGCAGTCGTCTGTCGGGTTTGATGCAAGCGTCTTTAAAAGCTTTTTATCATTGTAACATGAGTGGTCAATGGGAATATTTAAATACAGAATCGTGTCCGTACATATCTCATACAACGAAAATTTTGGAGCAATTTTCGAAAGTTAATCTGTCTCTGACGAAAAGCAGTTTGCTGGAGACAGCTAAGAGATTCAAGAATTATACGGGAAACGGTTCAGTAAAATTAACAGATCCGGTTGAGATCCATTTTATCGTGCGGACCATAGAAAACTACTTGAGTTTCCTAGTAGACGAGAAGGAACTCGGAATCATGTTGATCGACATTGTCAGTTCGATGATGAAATTATCGAAAGAGATGTTGAAGAGAGCGGAAATAAGTTTTAAAGCTTGCACGAGATTGATCAAAGCGATCGAACGTATTATAGAATTTACACCATCCATCCAGTCACATAAAAAGTACATGGCACTCGAGGAGTTTCGAGTCAAACGTGACAGTTTCGGTGGATTAACATGTACGTGGTATACCAACGTCGCTGTGAGTGCCGATTCAGACGCAAGATTTCTGCATTGTACAACGATTAACAGGACGATGCCGATCAATACAAAAGATAAGACGATAGAGGCTTCCATTCAGTTACCTGCTTCTTTGCTCCAACATTCGCAAGACAGCGTAATAACTCAACAACTCATGATATCCATGTATAGCGATAACAGACTATTTCCTAAGACAATCGCAAATAACAGCATGGATATATCAACTTGCATCGTCGGTAGTAAATTAAGTAAGTTACAAATCTTATAACCTGCAAAAATTTTTTCATGATATTTTTAGATTTTAAATTACCTAACTTTTTGCAGTTGGTACATCAATACGAAATTTATCCGAACCGGTTTATGTTATGCTAAAGGCACCATTGTATCATTACAACGGGAAAAGACCGAGACCAGTAGTATGGGACGAAACATTAAATAATGTGGGAGCTTGGACTAGCGATGGATGTCATTTAACCAATCTATTGAATAATCTGATAGTCTTCCATTGCAACAGATTGGGATATTATGGACTTTTGCAGGAAATTTCGCATCTTGATAAGGACGGAAATAGGTACGAGGCTTTTCTAATTTTTATTATTTATAGTTTTTTTTACATTTTTTTAATAATTTTATTGTTATATGATTTGCAGTTTACATGGAGCGAAATTTAGGTACTCGCATCCCGCGATATATATCGGCAGTTTTATGACGATAACCTGCTTGATGATCATGTCCGTGACGTATATTATTTCTTATACTTCCATCACAATGCCTAAGAAGGCGAAACACTCCATTATCAACACTTGGTTCGCCATGGCGTTATTGTCGTTCCTATATAGCATCGGCATCCAACAAACAGAGCATCTCGAGATTTGTCAAGGTGTTGGTCTTGCTTTGCATTATCTGTCGTTATGTTGCCTATTGTGGATGGCAGTATCTGCTAGGTAAGTATTAAAGAAGATAAAATGTTTATCGAAGAAGATAAAATGTTAATCGAAATTCTGTTCTTTCAGTAATATGTACAAAAAACTGATGAAACCAGGTCTCAATGTGATACCCGATGATGAACTTCCGGATCAACCTATACCCAAACCTTTGTTAGGACTCTATTTAGTTGGTTGGGGTGTAGCCTTGATAATCTGTGGAATATCCGGCGCGATCAACTTGCGCGAATATGCCGGTTATTCTCATTGCTTTCTCACATCCGGACCGGCGCTTGCTGCGCTTTTTATACCGTCCGGAATTTTAATTGCGTATCTGGTCATCTTTCTTCTGCTCATCAGACGTGCGATTCAGAATGTCGATACGAACGCGCAATTGTCCGAGGGTACTCAGGCAACGGAGAACATGGATCTAGAATTATTGGAGCCGAATGCGAATCCTTCCGGAGATAGGAATAGCATGCGCAGTACGCAGACTGTATCCTCTGACATGGAAGATCCGGAACACTCGCAATTTACGCAATGGAAAGGCCAAATCATTATGTTGGTACTATATCTGATGTCTTGGGGTAGTGCAGCTGCGGTAACGATTAAGCCATTTGACTCCATGCCATTCGAAGAGATGGTATTTGCCGTGATGTACGCCATTACTACAAGTTCGCTCGGTATGTTTGTATTATTTTTTTACGGGATCGCTCGTAACGATGTCCGGAGTCAATGGTTGAAGATGCGATGCTGGCTAGAGAAGCGTAAGAATCGTTGTTGTCGTACCAGGAGTGTGTGCGATGCGAATGCCGCGATCCCGACGCAGCCCTTGGTGCAAAATTTTGTCCCACCAATATCAAATTCACAAGCCACTCAGGCGATATCCGACACGAATTCTGTGGCTTCGTCGCGAAACACCAATCAATCGCAGCTCTACAACAGTTCAAAGCTCGCGGATTTTCCGGTTAATCGTGAAAATATACCTGCTGTTTCCGTGAACACGAAAGCGGCGAATCTGATAGTAATGCATCGTCATCAGTATCGTTCTAATAATTCCGTTACTACGTATACCGAACCGTCGTCGGCCTGTGTCGAGATGTTTTACAATCCTCATCAGAGCGGCGTCGCCAGAAAGTTCTTCAAAAAACAACGGAGACACGCTACTGGAAAGAAGAATAATCTCGGCCCTAGGAAACAGGGTGATGGTGGAGTTACTAGTGATGGCGGCAGTTGCGTTTCTATACCTCGACCTACCGCGAAGATCAACAATAGCCTGGAACGCAGCATCCTAAGTAGCAGCGCCAAAGTGAACAACACTAATATACATGTCGAGTTGAATCCTATAAACGATATCAAAAACGTAAACATATTGTCGGACAGCGGCGGCAGCATCTCCGAGGAAAGAAACATTCCGATACGCTTCGTTATCGGTCAGGAAAACCTGATGCGTAGCGTCAAAAAGATCAACAATAGCGCGCAACAGGACAGCCCGCACGTTAATGTCGTGATGTCCAATACGGCGAGAGAAACGCCGCAACTGAGGAGAATGGCACAAGACTCGGACGCGGACGTTTCGAAGACGGATGAAGAATGGCATCTACGAAACGTCTCTCAGCAGTGCAGTTTGGAATACAGTTCCGAAATGGATACTGTTACGCAGATGACTAGCGAGCGGAGCGATCATAATCTGCCCGAAATTTGCGAGAATATAGAGACGGCACAGGAGGATCATTTCTCGAGGAAAAGGTGTCCCAGCGTGAGCGAGATCGACGTCAGTGCTGAAGAAGAATATGTTTCGAGAAATATGATGGGACGCTTATATCTCTCCAACAGCATGTACTGCCTACCATTGGAGCACGAAAAACCGCCGATGAATAGCTACTGTAATTCGCTGAATGATATCTCATCATTGAAGCACCGCGAGTACTCGAAACCGTCGCTCATAGATGTACAAAGTACAACCAGCTCAAATCTGTGCGGGCAAGAAGTTCCTGAATCCCGAGGATCGTTCGACCGTTCGCTCTTCGAGATAAACAGCTTGACTAGTGATAATCCGTGCACATTGACACCACACGCGGAAACTCCCTACGCCTGTTCTCTATCGAATATTTATTGTATCTCCGATAAAAGTTTAGAGGAAAATAACTCTCACGAGGAATCGCAACTGCCAGACGTGGATCATAATGTGTTAACTGCACCCGAATCGAAAGATCTTCTCTCAGAGAAGAATTTCAGTTCTCTCACTGATATCCCGTCAATTAGTAGATCCAGTTCGCGCGATATCAATAATCTCAATTTAATAAGCGAAATGAACGTATGTACGGAACCTGCAAAGTTGAGTGATATGCATGAGTTTGAGGCTAATGAAATCTATTTGGACGAGCCAATGAGCCATTTGCCAGTTAAAAAGGAAACAAGTGTTTAATATATATAGATATTAGATTACCTCTCTTTTCATTCGTCTGCTACTATGACATATTTATTTTTATGCATAATTTTATAGACTGCACATTTATTGACAGTAGCATTTTATAATTTTATTACTTTATAAGATTAATTTTTATTAGAATCATGTGTTCAATGCATCTCTCATATATTAAATACTCGTGGTTTTCTGCTATTTATATCGCGTTCAAAGATGTAATTATTTAAAGACTTTGTACATAATGAAAATTATTCGAAATAACTTACTCGAAATAGTCTTCAATCAACTTGATAGTTCATTAAAAGTAAGTGAAATCTGTATTTTAAATGATTAATCAGTTGGAGTAGATGCAACAGATTTGGACAATTTTTAAAATATTATCATGTCCGAGTATTACTCACATCAACATGCCGACTCCAGTCAGAGTCTTTTTCAAAAATTATTGATGTCATAGAGATTGGTCTTTACATCAAAAATCTATAAATTTTTTAATTTAGCTGACTCGATATCGCACGACTGATTTCTTGGCATGAATGCAACTATTATTCGTCATATCCTGAACAAATACTCTTCACTTTATATACATAGAGATTATATCACGTAGAGATGTGATTATAAAATCATTTTGGCTGTGAAATATTTCTCTAATTTGAAATCGATGAATTTGATATCTGATACACAGTTCAACATTTGTCACAGTTCAACATATTATAGCAATCACAATATTAGCATTTTTTTATATATATTTATTATAAATATATTATAAATATATTATAAATATCTTCTCTGCATTTATATGATCTCTAAAACGAATATAAGAGTGTATCTTATTTTAGCAAGATGACGCTTGCTTTTATAACTAATACGAATTAAGAAATACGAATACGGAAATTTCTATAAATCGAAGACTGAATATTAAATTAAATTTATGAAATAGAATGATTACCATCGACTTTCTTCCATAAATATATACACTTAAATAGAAAAGAAATATTAACTGTACGACCCCCCCCATTTTCGGTAACAATGCCTGATATTATATTGTAAATAACGTTTAATTAAGATTTTAAGATGAACAAATGTAATTCGTATTAAACGCGTTAAAGCAGCTTGAGAAATTTTATATATCATATTTCTTTGTCTTATTATTATTTTTACTTTTATATTGATTTCTTCTCGAGAAATATAAATTTCAATGTACGTACAATTGTATACAAGCTTAGTTATTAATTAATACATGTATATTGTACACAATTTGTGTCCGTGTTTTTATATGATTATTCTACATACTTCTGTCTGATACTTCGAATGTCACATTCGATTGATCTGATAAATATCTAAACATTCAACAACAAATTATGTGAATTATTTCATATATCTATAAATCGATTCTCAAAATCTCAATCACTAATCTTTACATTTTTATTACATATTATAATTATATGATTTATAATTTTTATTATATGTTATAATTTTATATTATGTATTAAAATAATGTATAGTTGGAATATTATCTTGCACCTATCTAGATTTTTTTTCGAGATTATTATAATTTATGCATGTGCATTGCTTGATTTTGCTTCATCCAACCAATTTCTCGGATTTTTCAACACCTCCAAAAGTTGTGACTCCTTCGAACCGGCTTCGGGTTCATGCATATACTCCCATTTGGCATTTAATGGAAGAGACATGAGTATACTCTCGTATCGCGCACCGGGCGTATACAGGCCGAATTTAGTACCGCGATCATAAATTAAATTAAACTCAACGTATCTACCTCGTCGTAATAATTGCCATTGCCTCTCGCGATACCCGTAGCCGTCATCCTTGTGTTTCTCTACCAAGGGAATGTACGATGGAATAACTGCCTCAGCGCAAGAAGTCACAAACTGAAATGCTTCATTTTGATTCGGAGTGTCTAGATCGTCGAAAAATATTCCACCCACGCCGCGTCGTTCCTCTCGATGGACGATATTGAAGTAATTGTCGCACCATTCTTTAAATTTCGCATAATAAGATGGATCGTGCTTGTCGCACGCCGCTCTCAGGGCTTTGTGAAAATGTTTGGCATCTTCCTCATCCAGATAATACGGAGTGAGATCCGTACCACCTCCGAACCACCATTGAGTAGTGCCGTCTGGATTCTCCACCTCGAAGTAGCGATAATTGAAGTGAATCGTAGGGATCATGGGATTGCGAGGATGAATTACAGCACTCACGCCAGCTGCAAAGAATGGTACCGAGTCTCCCATCTTTTTACCACGTGCCCTCATCTGTTGGATTGCATTTGGTGGCAACACACCAGTTACCACAGAAACATTAACACCAGCCTTCTCGAATACCTCTCCATCCTGTAGTACACAGGTAATACCACCACCACCCTCCTTCCTGGTCCAACGATCCACCTTGAAAGATCCGTTACTTTCCAATGATTCAAGAGCTCTGCAGAAATCTGCTTGTGTCTTCATCACCAGTAATTCCATCTTTGTTTTCATATCATTCTGATTTTTCTGCAATTTCTCAACAGCTGTAATAGGCTCTGCCATAAAAGTTTTAACATAATTATGCAAATCATTCTGTGCTGCCGAAACTGTAACCTTGGATACGCTGTACGCTGCAAATCCTGTTACAATTCCTGTTCCAACATGCTTTAAATTCTTCGATCCGCTCCATGTAACATAACAATAAATGCCAATGGAACGTAGGCTTTTCCAATTTCGTAACATGAAATTTGTAGCCATGATTTTCTTCTAATTATTACTTTTATCTGAAACAAAAAAAATAAAACTTTTAAAAAGCTTTAAAGAAGCTTTAAAGTTTTTTTCTAGTTTAGTGTCACAAAATATTAATGATTTCGTAATCAAAATATTTTCTGATTAGATATCTGACTTGTCTGATAAGATTTGTATCTTTAAATTTATGACTGACAAAATATAAATACTTCGCGTATCCTGTACAGTTTCACTATTATTATTGTTTATATATAGCACTTATTTCATATTTTTATATGTTTTGCTATTTTAAAATTTAAATTAAAGGAAAAACAAGCTTCTTTTCTTATTTTCCCAAGTAGGGAAACAAGTCCACTTTTCAGCCACCTTTTGATTATCTAGTACAAGTCCTCTCCAAACTGAACTTGGATATTTGAATATCCAAACCTCGACTATTTCTTACAATGCATTAAAGAAATTCAATTGCGAGATAAAATGTCTCGTAAATATATGAAGTGAGAACTAAGTTTGAACCTCCATTGACTATCAGTCGAGCTACACGTCGACTCAGAAAAACTTGATATCTGGTGAAGGTTAATGAATCAGCTGATTTTTTACCGTGAGAGTGTCATGATTGAAGAAATACACACTTGCGCCATCTTTCATAGCACATATATATAACAAAACCTTTCATAATAAAAATCAACAGCTACTGTAATAAAATCCCGAAAGATCCACTGTTATCACATGGATTAATTTTAATCTCAATATATCATCTTTTCATATATTACCTTTTTCTCATTTTTAGAACTCAAAAAATAAACAAGTTCAATCAAAATTAAAACTATCTTAGCAAATATTATAAGAATTTTTACATGTCAATGAAATGATTCCCTTGATTACTATTGTAAAGGAAAGTAAAAAAGCAAATTGATATGATTTGACGAAAATGATAGTGCTCAAGTGGGCAAATGAACTATGCTATTCAGTTTTATATTGTATATTTCTTAGCGTCTATATTTAAATTTAATAGTATTCTCATCGTAATAAGTGTTGAAGCTTTTCCATCTTGGTCCAATTACAGAACCATCTTCTTTTCGTTCTATAGATTCACATGGTAACAAGCCTAGAAAATCAAAGCAAAGTATTAATTTTAAAAATGTATATCTTTGACAATACATATTACATTTTCGATGTATTTAAGTAAACGGTTGTGTACAAACCTGCTGCTTGTGCCATCTTCACCAAAATGGACATTCTTTTATGTTGCACCTTACATAGCTTAGTTATGTTTCGTGGTAGCATCTCTCCATTCGATTGTATGAATTGCTTTAGAATAAGAACATCCTGCAAAATATATGAGTAGCTAAAACATGTTTTAGACTTAATAACTATAAGGTTTTTATCTATATTTAGTTCAAATTACTTCAATGTCATAGAACTTACGGTATGTTTAACATCAAGTTCCGTGGCACAAAGGGGACATGCTTTAGAATCAATCTTCAATAACATATGTTCATTCTTTTGAGGCAAGTCGACACCTTCAATGGTCAGGACCTTATCTTGCTTCTTCTCGATTACTGACAAAATGTTAGATATGAAATTAGGAAAGGTATAGGTTATAGGTTAAAATTATAGGTTAAAATTATATCAAACGTTTGATAAACAGTATTCGATCGAACAAATTTACTTACTCTCTCTCAATCGTGTGGTTGCGGACAATGACACGCCTCTCTCACATTGTGACAAAGTGAGACTTTTTCTAAATAATTCTGCAGACCGACGGAGAGCCAACATTTTTTATGATACCATTGACGCTCAATGATTCTCAATAGACGATAGATCTCTTCTTTTCAACTGAACCCTTATACCATTCATCGGTAATTATTTAGAATATCTCCCTTACGGATTTATATATGGTTTAAAAGGGAAAAACTCATACAGTGCCTAATTGTATAAGGGATTGAAGAGAAATAACAAATTAGGAAAAGTGAACCTGTACATCGTCGGAGATCCGACGGAAGCCGCGTTAATGTTCTCAACCGAGGAGAACTGGGAAGAAAAAAAATAACTTTAATGCTTAATATCTCAGTTTGCGAGGCAGACCGCCGCGTTTTCTGCCAGATTATTTTATTTTGAAACCGCGTCGATTGAGCGCGGTTAAAAATTTTATCAAAATCGGAGGGGAGGGGAGCATTCTAAATAATTACCCGTTCATCTTTCCTCTTCTTTCTTACACGTTGGAGAAAAAAAGAAACAAGATAAATGCAAGAAATTCAATTAAAAAGAATTCAGTTAAAAAAATCTATCGGTAAAGTTAAAGTTCGTATCTTATATTTAAAAACTAATATTCAACGAAGTTTTCAACATTATAGTAGGTGCTTTCCATTTATTAATCATAAAGTCAACATTGTAAGCGTTGTTACGTATAAGTATATATTTATACTGTGACGTCGTTCTATCTTTCTTAGCATTCAATGAATAATAAGGACAAAACAAGTCGATACTTGTGTCGACTTGTGTTATTAAAGTCCGATTGCACCAACGTTATTTTGGTTTTAAGTAGTTCTTAAATATATATCTGTCCTTATCTTTTTTTTAAATAAATAAAGACAGACACATATTTAAGTTTCATTTAAAGCTAATAATCGGGCCTAAAGCACCTAGAATATATTTCGTACACTTTGAGAATTTCTCAAAAATTTTTGAGAGCTTTTCCATAAGTTAAATTGACATTTCTTATCTTTTCTTATCATTTTATATGGTTCTTCGATTAGCGATTGGACAAATTTAAAAATTTAATAAAAACACCTACATGTATATACAATTCATGAATTTGAATTGATTAGAAATGTGCAAAGAGAAATAATATAAAATATTAAACTATTAATATTAATAGAATAATTATATTTATACTTATATAATTATACTTTTGATATGTCTTTTTTATATATTAATTGTTTAAGTATGCCTATGATCAATTTGTTTATAAATCTAAAAATTTTAAGTAAATTATATGACGTCGCATATTCATAGTGCTTTAGCATGTGAAATTGTATCCATATCGAGAGCGCATGTTTTTGATTTAGGTGTTCACTCTTGTTCTATGATTATTCCAGAATTATCATTACTCTATTGTTACATGCTTAATCATCATTATATTATTAAATTTCGGCCATAGACGTAATAAATATAAACCGTAATAAATTTTTTTATATTTTAAATATAAACAATACATGTATGGCATTTACTAGAAAGAAAAAAAGTTTCGACATCTGTCTTCTTTCTCTTTCTAATTTCATTTGATTAATAAACATTTTTTCTCTTTTTAAAAGAGGATATAGCAACACAAAGCGACACTGGTCGATCATGTTTTCATTGCTCTGCGAGATTTATGTTTATTTTTGTGAAGGAACGACGCTTTTTACACCACGCGGTCCAAGAACGCGGGGTGGGCAGCGGGGAGGGAAGAAGAGTGGGAGGGAATGAAGGAGCAACGCGGCGTGACGTCATCATCGCGCTAGCTATCCATTGGCGTATACTTCGCTTCGCTACTATCACGTCCCATCCCCACCACCGTCTCCGCCGCCATCGTCATTATCGTCATCGTTGTCGTCGTTGTCGCGCGGCCGTAGCGCTCTCGCGGCAGTCGCGGTCGCCTGCGATGAGTTTAGTTTTGAAAACAAGGGGCCGCCCGCCGCTCGCCGTGGTTGTACGTCGTCGTCGTCGTCGCCGTACGGCTCGCGTATAGAAACGGAAGCGCCTCCGTCCGCAAGCGCGGCGCAGACGGCAGACGAGGAATTAAACGGCGCGTTGCGTCGCGTCGGGACGAGTCGTGTGTATCACGATTAAACGTTCCTTCCGTCCCTCCCTCATTCAGCTGTTTATTCGTACGTCCGTCCATCCGTTCATCTCTTTCTCTCGGTATACATATATATATATATAGAGAGAGAGAAAGAGAGATATTTATCTCTATCCTGTTGTCTCCCTTTCTCTCTCTTTCCCTGTGACAATTCTCCCTTCGCGTTACTGTCGAATACGCGTGATCACACAAAAAATGGACGCACTTCGGGAGCAGGTGATGATCAATCAGTTTGTGTTGGCCGCGGGCTGTGCCAGGGAACAGGCGAAGCAATTGCTGCAGGCGGCGCATTGGCAATTCGAGGTAAGTGAAGGAAAAAAGGAAGTATGGGAAGTATGGGCTGAGAAATGAAGGGAAGGAAGGAAGAAACTCCACAGGAATGCGCGCATCTCTTACGTGTCCTCTTCCCTTCCTTTCTATGTGTGGTATCGTACGCGCGCTATATTGTGCGTATCATGCATGAACGTGTATGTGTACGTACGAGACGGTATACCCTCGCGCTTGGACACTGCTACGTAAACAAAGCGACAAAAATGGCCGCCTTCGTCGTCGCTGGCTCGGTCGCTTCATGCCGCGGATTTCACGACGTTCGCACGAAGACGAGGTGCCGCGACTCGCGGATCGATGCTCGCCTCCGCGGATCGAATGACGGCGACGGCGACGGCGACGACACGACAATAATGTTGACTCGCGATCTGCGTCGCTTTGCTTCATTCATAAAAATCGCTCGCGGCATGCGGCCCACGTTAGGAAAGATCTCCAGGAAACGACCCGTAAACTCGTGACACTCATGCCGGGTTGCGTTTCTTACAGCCCCGCGGACTCCGCGAACCCCGCATGATGTAAATAATGGCTCGTGTTTCTTTCTCGCGCGAGTATACCTCGGGTGCCTTCGCATTTGACGCTCTCAGAATCATTTCGTCTTCGTTGTTTAAGCAAGACCAAACGGTGATCGTGAGGAACGAACACATTCCTCGCGTCTCGACTTTGCCCGAGGAGGTGGTGAACGAGGAGCGAGGAAGAGCCATTTTTGGCGCATTACCGTTTCCCTCCTTCCCCCTCTGTCTCTCTCGCCGATCCGCGGTGCAGCCGGCGACGATAAAGCGCTGTTTGTTTTCATCCGCGGCATCGCTAATGATAGACGCGCGGCAATCGTCATCGTTGCGCAACAAGGATTCTGTCGCCATTATTGATACATCAACAATCCTGTCTACGGTGTCATATCGATTGCGGCGTGTATGTTGCATGCCGTAGCTCGCCGGGAAATTATTGCGCAATATTATCATCGTGGAGATGCGCGCCGGTGCGATTATCTCGGCGCTCGCAATTTCCTTTTCGCGTGAAAGCGTGAAAGAGGCAGGCGAAATTTTATTCCCGATTGACGGACGTGGAATGAGGCGAAGGATCGATAATTGCTATTTGCGGCGAGTCACGTGGGCTACACTCGTGTTTACATTCTGCAATCTTGTTAAGCTGACGTTACACAATTCTTACGCGTTTAAAGGCGGATGAGAAATTGGAACCGACGACGTAAATTCGGCGAAAGGTCCGGATGCTCGGTGGACACGCGAACGTGACTCGTACGTGATTTTTCGCAGACAATGGGATCCCACCGACGTTGACATAAAATCTGAGTTTTGCCATAAAAAATTGGAAAATTGAACTCGGTTACAGATGTTTTAAATCCGGCTAGAAGAGAGAAACGTCTCGATTTTTCGTCCGAAAAATTGTAACAGTTTCTAATTAATTGCGTTAGATTTTTAGTGATTTTTCATTTATTACGAATGTGAAACGTAAAAAAATAAAGCAATTCAATTTGCAATCGTATATATGATATTCTTTTTTTGATAATAAACCTGACGAAATGAATTTGATTACATTTATCGCTAACAAGGGAATTCCTCGACAATTTCAATGGGAATTGGAAATATAAAAGCTAAAAATAGATACGTATTTTTTTATGTACATTTGTTCATATATTTAGAAACCGAAATCATTCTTCAAAGTTAATGTGGCATATTTGATTTTAATGGAATTTTAATTATGTTTTAATTATGTTTTAATTATAGTTTTAATTATATTTTATAAATAACATTAAATAAAAGTTTATGATATTTTATAAATATATTTTATAAAAGGTATTTTATAAATATATTTTATTTAAAAAATTTTTCAAATTTCTCTTATTTTTGTGAGATTTAAAATTTTTATTGAAACTAAGATTAAAGAATCTTATAGATTATAAAATTAATCGTATATAACAATATAGTTATATTAAGCCTCTTCTTTTTAGCTAAACTTCATCCTTCGTCTTTTTCTCTCTAGGTTGGAGGAAAAAGAAAAAAAACGAATAATGCAAGAAGTTCAGCTAAAAGAAAAACAGGCGTGTTGAGAAAAAAGTGAAAAAGAAAGAATGAATAAAATTCTGAAATAAACATGTAATAACATGTAATAATTAATTACTTGCATTTACCTTATTTATTCAGAATTCTAGGATTCGATCGTGCAATAAATTTTCATAAATTTGCTCGCTCAATTACTAGCGTCGCATAATTCATTTTTAAACACGCCGATAGAGCGAGTAAAATACATAATGAAAGAGAGAATGATGGGAGGGGAGGAAGGAGAAAGATTATGTTGCGACACACTAGCGTGCGTGCTGCTAATGCATCATCGTGATTAGAGTTAGGTCGAGGAATCTTTCTGTGTCTCTTTGACCATAACGTAAACAATGCGGCAATGTATTTATACGCGCATGTCTCATCTCGTCCCGGCATTATGTGTCAACTCGGTGTAGTGTAATATACACAGTGTTCTGTACCGCATTATGTACGGCAATCAGTGAAAGGAAAGGTCAGCTTATCGGAGTTGTTTGTTGTCATCGATTTTGTATAATCGGTATTCTGCGAAATATTTTTCTTTATTTTTTTTTTTTTCCTTTTTTTTTGGTCATAAATTTTAGACCAACCTCCATTGATCTCGAAAGAATTCCGGTCGCTCGACACGTTGAAAATATTTATACTTTAAACGCATTTCTACAACGCGTTTCATATCGCGATTTAAACTCGTTGACAATTATGCCGATTTCAATCCGTGCTGCCCCACGATGGACTGCAAAACGGCCGCAAGGTAGATAATATGCGAATGCTACAGAGAATTCTCTCCATTCGAGAACTTTCTCCATCCGAATGGTACGAAGTACTAAAGCAGGAGTCGCGTGCTATTCGAAGCTGTTGAATTTTATATTTATTTAATTTTCGTTAAACAGCCCCTCTATATATATTATATTTTTTCGTCGTACCTCTCCATTTAGATAAATTGAAAATGAAGAGAGAGGAAAGAAAAATATACATGGACATCTATATAATTACTATATAATTAAGGACTATATAATTATAGAACTATATAATTACGTAATATGAAAAAAAGATGGTGTTACATATAGCAAACAAATAATTAATTTATTAAATCTCTTTCCAAAACAAATGTCAAATCCATTAAACGAATATCAGACATATTACGCATTATTGCGATATTGAATTTTCTGTAATCTCGATATAACCGCGCTAATAATTCTGCTGTTATCGAAATTGCTACGTTAATTATACCCTTCTCGTTAAATAAATTTATGAAGGAATATTTTACATTTAACTGATATATTTCGCTGCTATCTCTTCTCACGTATTCTATCCCCGATACTCTTGTTCTGCGTTTACAAAGGTATCATAAACATTGAAAGGAGCAGACATGACAGTACACAACACAGTAGAGCTACCTTTGTGCATTTATCTCCTTTCGCTGCAATGGCGCTCTGACCGAAATATGAAACGCGTTCCTTGTCGCGTTGGCCTATTACATTCTTATGCTAATATCCTCAATGTATCCGAGAGTATCGCGTATCACCGGGCGCTTTAATTAAACGCCAGTTGAATGTCATGGCGTATTGCGTAACGCATTCACCTTATAATAACGAGTGTGTCAAACCCGTTGGCCGCCTCGGTCCCGCGCGGCAATATCGCTCTAATAAAATTACATTTATATAATTATTTATTTAGTTATTGCCGAGATATAAGTAGCCAGATGATCGAGAGCCGAGCGGAGCGGTTTTTATAGATAATTATTAATACGTTAATAACTTGCTGATAACTGGCGGAGCGTCGCAACTATCATCGTGTTACAACGTCGAGTTCATCAGCGATTATCGGATATCTTTATCGGCAGCTTGGTAAGTGCAAACGTAATGGATACCCGATGCCAGCCAGCGCGGGGATTGAATATCGATACTGCGGTATAAAGTATCGGACGATACTGACAAAGCAGCTCGCGAGGCGATCGAAAGATTGCGACGGACACTTTAATGACGTCTGGCAAAGTTTTTATTCGGCCCGATTACGTCGTTCTCTAGTTCCTAATCGGCTAGAGACGGCTATACACATTCCCTTGTATTCGATCAATATCAACGCGAAAATAAATCAAGGCGTGCAGAAACAGTATTGAAAATTTATCTCGATATGTATATCCTATCTTTCGAAAAGCTTTCGGAAATTGGAAAGAGAAAAAAAATTCCTTAGCAGATTAAACTTCAAGATTGTAGGTAGAAAATAATTAAATTAATTTTTATCCGAATGAGATTTTATCTACCGTTCGGAAAAACTTGAAATTTTCTACTTTTCTACTAAACGAGTTTCTTTATTCTTTCTTAACGATATAAGAATGAGGATAATTTTGAAAATTAAAATATCTTGGAGAATTTTCTAAATTTGTAAACAGATATTCTTTGATATAATAGATTTGATAATAGAAGCAAAAATGCATAATATATACTTTTTTATGTTATTTTCGCGCTACTATTAATTTTAATTGAATACGTTTTAATGGTGGCGCTTTTTCTGTTGCAGACCGCTCTCAGTATTTTCTTTCAAGAAGCAGCGATACCTTCCTGTGCGCAAGGAGCCGGCACTCACTTCGGCCAAGTAAGTCTTCGCATAGTTCACTTCTAACATGACTGACGAGAAAAAGCAAATAAAGGCGCACCACGTATACATCGTTGCACTCCGTGCAATCACTGAGTATTTCCGCGTGTCGTCAATTCCTCGCTTTGTTTCTCCCTCCTTTCAGACATTAAAAAAGAAGATAAAGCTTAAATTCTCGCATGAATTATTCTTATAACGCAAAATTGCACTCCGAGATTGCTGCGAAAATCGACATTGTGTATTTTCGACGCAGGTTGTAAGAATAAGAGTAAAATTACATGCTTATGACGTATTCGCGTATCGATATTTTATGATATATTTAAAGAAAGTACATATTAGCCATATATGTAATATAATATGTGATATTTTATGTCGATTGTTATATTAATTAATTAATCATAAATTGCAATTATTTCTTGCTCAATGAACTGCCATTGAATTCAATACTATGCGTTTACTGTAATTACATTACAGTAAACATTACGTTACATTACGTTACATTACGTTAAACATTACATTACATGATATATCATATTGCAATGCGAAATAAGGACGATTAATTAATCAATTTACGAGTAAACGTTTTACAATGTGAATTGCACACTGAGGTCTGAGAAATAAATGTCTCTTACCGAAATTTTTGTCGGACCTCAACTTCTACAATTAACATCTCAAATTAATATTATTAAATTTATAAATAAAGCCACTCTAAACTATTCGAATTCTACGAATTCTACTTCTTCGGAAGGAGATCGGATTTTATTTTTTTTTTTTTTTTTTTTTTTTTTTTTTTTTTTTTTTTTTTATTTAAATCGTTATCTACAGTTCATTTACTCACCGAGAAATATATACCTGTCCTTGTCGAGAGTATTCCCGTTTGTTTTTTCTACTCGCCAATTTCCTAATAGGATTCGATTATAGCGCGATTGGATTCCTAGCGGCCGCGTCTTCTCTACGTATAACATAACGTGACATAACAGAGTTGCGTCGAAGTGTCTCCAGGCCCAGTCGGCGAGTCGCGTAGGCCGGCGGCTCGTGTGTTCCCGTCTTATTGATTATTCAAAAGTAGGTTCAGCGAGTGCGAGAGATCACAGAGAGAGTGAGAGGGAGAGAGAGAGAGAGAGAGAGAGAGAGAGAGAGAGAGAGAGAGAGAGAGAGAGAGAGAGAGAGAGAGAGAGAGAGAGAGAGAGAGAGAGAGAGAGAGAATGAGCGGGGAACAGCGCGGATCCCGGAATAATACGCCGGGCGGCCAATTCACGAAACGTGCTTCATCCAGCTCGTCGCGTCGCGTTAATGTGCATGTACATATAGGCGGGGAAATCGATTGAAGCGCGTGTCTGACCTTCACAGGGTTGACTATCATCCCTTACGCGACGATTTACGCTTGCCTTTTGATTAATTGCCCGATTCTCGTGTACCTCTTTGTCCTATATAATTTCAGAGTTGCTCGAGATGATCGTGCAAGAATGACGGACTCGAGAGAGAAAGAGAGAGTGATTGTATTTCTACCTCCGGCTTATTCGCGACCAATATTTTCATTTCTACGAATGCGGATTAACTTTAATCTTGGTTTAACTTTTTTGGTCTTGTTTCAATTCTCACGAGGTAGAAAGAAATAAAAAGTAAATCAAGATTAAAATTAATAGATATAAAAGCGGCTTTATGATGTGATCTTTGAATAGATTTTGATATGCATGTAGATAAATTTATTTTGATAATCCAACTAGATTTAATATGTGAACTGCCATTTACTCTTCTACAATTAGTCTCTATGTAAGGTATTCATCAAAGAAATCTTCATTAAAAGTTATTTTTATTAAACAATGTTTGTCTTATCAAAATTTAAATAGGTTTTGAATAATGATTGAATAGAATAAATATTTTAAATGCATTGCACTTTAAAGTAAATGCCCGGCCAGATCCAATTTGGATCTGAAAGATCCAATTTCTAGGACTGATGCAATAACGCAATAATAATGAAAATAATGACACAATAACGTTTTTATCTGGGTACTGCTTAAACGGTCACAATTGACAAGTCAGTAAATTTAGTCGAATGAGCTGTCCTGTTAAGGAAACCGGTTGCGAAGGTCTCACCGTGGCAAATGTCAAGAGCAGCTTTTGCGATTAGTTTAGATTACTTTAATTTCTAATGGAAGCCAAAGGTGATGCTCGTGAAACAAAAGACTAAAGAAAACCGTTGGCTTCGGCCACTAGTAGGAGCGTTACTATTCTCGGTCGGTGACGGCACATTCCAATCAGTCGTGTGCCAAATGTCGTCTACAGAACTGGACGTACATCATGACATACACTATTTTTCCGGTCCTCTCTTATTTTACTCCTATTTATTCTTATTTAACTCCTCCAATTAATCACATCACGTGTGCGGTATATAATTTGCATATCATCTGATATATTTTCAACAAGACAAAAGTATTCTAATTATATGGAATGTCTAATTATATGGAGCATAATCTGCATATGTGTGATATATTTTAATGTTTCATAAATATCAAATGTTTATTCAATTTTCTCATTTTATGAGTAAGGGTTTTTTAAGTAAAAATATTATAGTTTTAAAGAGGAAATAAGATATACGCAACAAGTTTTTTATAACATGTGTTTATAACATGTGTTTTTTTGCGAAATACCAAGTCGAATACATCATTGATTCGTTATTAATATATACTTTTAAGTATATATATTTAATTTTTTAATTATAATTCTTCTAATTATGCATGTATTAAGATAAAGAAAAGTAAAAAAGTTACGAATTAACTTATATTTTATTCAAATTTGGACATAAAATATGAAATATTCTGTACAATATTTATGTTTTTCTTAAAATATTTGTATGCATATACTGATCAATAAAATGAATTAATGTAAAAGAAATAAATAATTTGTTATATTTTTTTATATATTTTCTTTAAAATATTATTTAGTTTAAACATGTAAACCTCAGATTTAAATTTATAAAAGACATAAAAAAATATACTTACATAGAAAATGCTAAAATTTAATAATTAAAATTTAATAATGAAAATTAAGATTTATTTTCTATAATATAGACAAAGCTCTTTCAATTCTCTTTTTCTCTCATAAAATAGTTACTAAATTGCAAAAAATTAATATGTAAAGTAAAAGCGAAAGTGTTTATTTCAAAAACAAATAAAAATATATCTTATATTTTATGTGGTATTTTGTAATATTTTGTTACTCAAATTTAAGTATAGTTGAGGTGTGTCGAAACGTTCGATTATTTAATAAAAATGATCTTATTTAGAACGATTCTAACTGTTGAAATATGTAGTTCATTCATGAAACATGTTGAAAGCACAAAAGCAACAAGGTTCACTTTGTGAGAGAACCGTCGTCAATGGTTATTTAATAGCCGCTTATCGCCGATGAATTATCGCAGCTGGTCGTTGCCATGCTAATACACATGTCCCTATATTGTTTGGCCATTATATCCGTGTACCTGACCGTTGTCATATGCAAGAACCCAAAGTTCAATAACCTTGTTAGCTAATGCTCTTACATGTTGGATTTTTATCATGTTGTTAGG